TTTTTTGTAAGATTTGGCTATAATTCAAATTTGATCATGCATTTTTTATGTTAGATTATGTGTTCCTAACTTATCACATCACTGAAGAGTGGAAAGTTAAAATCAATGGCCAAAGTCTTTCTTCATAGGAAAGCTAAGATAAAGCTCAAGGTGTCCTAGCCTCGGCACTGCCCCAGCTGTAGGAGTGCACTCACTTTCCTTTTCCTTCAATACATCTGAAACTCTGTGAGGCTCATTAAGGTAAACTCTAGATGCAGAGAGATTTAAAAACCACAGATTTCCCACATCTTTGAAGATTTAACATGCTGTATCTTCTTGTTCTCCATGATCATTCTTGTTTTCAAATGAAACTTTGCTATAGCAGGTTCTGGAGACAATCTGTGCCTCCCCACCCACCACCCAATATCCCAAAATCACAGCCCAGTTTATATACTAATTTAAAGTGCAACCAGAAAAGAAAAGAGGTCAAATGTAGATGACTTTTCAGAAAATAGATACTTTACTCTGAGGTCTTAAAGGTGTTGGCTACAGAGGTATTGTCAGTTCTTCTAGAGGGTGCACCACAGACCCTGTCTTCGTTCCTCCACAGTCCTGCCCTCAAAAATCTTTATTGTTCTGCAGACCATTGAGAGGACAGTTTGGAGAAGACCGTGCATATGATTCCTGAGCATATCTGGAATGGGACAAGGGAAAAGACATATTGAAGTCAGAACAGGGAAACATAGGTGTAGGTGGAGTGGGTTGGAAAAAGCAGGATGTTCGCTATCTCAGTGACGAAGTGAAGAAGAAAAACTGTCTTAGTTCAGAGTGTTATGAAGCTTAAGACTTAAAAAGCTTAGTTGTGTATGTAATTACACACACGCACACACACACACACGCGCACACACACACACACACACATCTCATATATAAGCTGGGAAGGATTAACTTTACTTCTTATTGGTACATTCCATAATCTAGTTATTAGTTCTCTCACTGCCAAGAAATGCACTCTCACATGGGCTAAAGATCAATTTATCTGTGAAAAATTGCTTTAATAAGAAAAATGCAAGCCTTTTTTCCAAATAAATTTTAATACAAATCATTCTCATCATTTATCTTTTATGACAAGTGACTCTCATGTGGAAATCAAAGATCTTTAAAAATAAAAATATTGGCTATCACAGTATTATTTAGTGTTGCTTTTAAAAGTCGATTAAAAATTTCAGCCTGTGAAGAGATACAAACCAAAAGTCTTAGTCTGAGATACTCATTTATTCTGAATCGCTCTGTCTAATCTCTTTCAGTTTCTATTCCATGTAAGCGACAGGATTCCCAGACCTCTTAAGGGATTTATTGTTTTCAACAATTTCTTTCTCCATTTGTTTTTAACAAGTTCCCAACTACTACAGAATAAATCATCTCATTTTCTTGTCTGCTAACTTATCTTGTCTTCTCACCCTGAGTCCCAAATTCCTTCATCAAAGCTAACCCGATTGTTACATATGCTGTCGAACATTATCTCAGAAGTTTACTGTGATTTTTCTGTGCATAATTCATGTATGTAACCTTCATCACTTAACAGAAATTATTAATTTAAAAAATTAGGCCGGGCGCGGTGGCTCAAGCCTGTAATCCCAGCACTTTGGGAGGCCGAGGCGGGTGGATCACGAGGTCAAGAGATCGAGACCATCCTGGTCAACATGGTGAAACCCCGTCTGTCTCTACTAAAACTACAAAAAATTAGCTGGGCATGGTGGCACGTGCCTGTAATCCTGGCTACTCAGGAGGCTGAGACAGGAGAATTGCCTGAACCCAGGAGGCGGAGGTTGCGGTGAGCCGAGATCGCGCCATTGCACTCCAGCCTGGGTAACAAGAGCGAAACTCCGTCTCAAAAAAAAAAAAAAAAAAAATTATGTGCTTAATGTATTTCAAACCCCAGTGTTCTGCAAGTCTCTGGGAATGGCAGAGGAACTTTCTGGAAGAAGGGAGATAGGGGAGGGCAGGGAGAGAGGCTTAAGTCACAGGGAGGAGGACCCGACAAAGAAAGGCTGTGTCACAGAAAGGTAAGGGAAATTGCAGCAGGTGCTGTGACTTCTGGGGAGAGTCGTAGGAACAGAGCAGGCATCAGAACCTTGTTTCTGTCTGTTCTTTCCTCTTTAACCCACATCAGAGACAAGTCCCAGTGACCCGTTATATGTTTGGTTCTCGAGAAGGACTAGTTTTAAAACTGCTTTAAAATCCTTACGTCTCTCCTCACACTGTAATTAGGGTTTCTCCAGCAGCTGTTCTTGCCATGGCCCTTTAGACTAGTGATGGAGTCAGTTTATAACTTGATCAACTTGATCGCGCTTGGTGAGATCACAGCCTGCCAGGAAGAGTTGTTTCATGGGCGCAGCTAGTGAGAGTTTGGGGCTTTGTTCCTTCCTAGGGTGAGATCCAGGGTAGTGCATGAAGAGTTGGAAAGAGGAGTAGCCAGTCATACTAAAGAGGTAGATATGGAGGACAACTAAAGTAATAATAATCAAAAAAAAATTAACTGTTAAAGGAAACAAAAGGAACCACTTTGGATGCACAGCTTACCCTAGCAGCATGCTCCCTAAACCCCTCTGATCACCAGTGCCCTGCCCTCTTCTGGGACCCTTGCATCAAGCCCTCAAGCTCCTGATTTCCTGAACTGCCACTTTTCCTGCACAGCTACACTTCCCTTTCCCTGAGCAGATGCACATTTAGAAGGCATGGGCCTAGGAAAGGACGGTTGGCTGGGTCGGGGTGGGGCGGGGGGGTACGGGAAGCCCCACACTTTATCTCTTGTACCACCAAAATAAGAATTTAATTTTCCCCCATTCTTGGAAAACGCTGATTTTTAAAAATGATGTTTTTAAAGGAATCATTTTTAAATTTATTTTTGTAACACACAGCACTGCCAATCAACATGAGAATAGTTTGTGAGTTTCACAGAATTTTAATATCATTCCATCTCAGCATTATGTGTCAGTTTTCTTATTGTGTATAGCTTAGGTCACGTGCATAATTTCCTTTTCATTTTCAAAAAATATTAAAAATAAATTGAGAACCTTGATATTATCTTTGAAAACTTTAAGATAGAGAATGCTACCCTAGCCAGTTCTCACCTCCTAGCCCCTTCGTCTCTCTTTCCACCTCTGATCCCTTGATTCCCCTGGAGCTGTTCCAACCAAAGATTCTAAACATAAGTTGAAATTACCAGATGATTTTACTACTTCTTACACCGTCTATCTGTAGTCCAGCCCAGAATAGCAGCTCTAAACAATTTTGTTTTGCATTTGTCTCTTTAAATCTCTTTATTGATTCATTGACTTAAAACATGGGATTTTAATACCTTCCTTGTCTAATATACAAAGTTAAAATTAATGGATAAAATAGTCAACAAAGTCGCAACCCTCAGAAATCTGAAAGCTGAGGAAGACATGCATTTATTCAGTAGGTATTTACTATAATCATGAAAGCAACTCTTAAAAAGATTATAGGTTCAAAAACTCCTCGAAAGGGGAAGTCAAGAAAGTGCGGAACCAAATCAGTGTAGAAATGGTCTGTGTGATGAGTAGTCGTTAAGAATGATGGCAGGATTAGTAGCAGACAGGAGCACTGAATGAGAAGAGAGTTCTGAAGGGAAAGCAGCAAGAGCAGCAATGAAGGGTCGTGTTCTAATGTCCTGTGTGTAAACGAGCTGGGCTTTGAAGGAGAAAGGAAAATGATCTGGAGGCAGCCGAGAGAGGCCCAAAGAACAAGAAAGACACCAAAACAAGATATAAACACAGAGTAGGTCTCTCGATCTACATTAAAAAGTATCTGAATTTTGTGGGGGTTCAGTCAGGATGGTGGGAGAGATTGTAATATTATAATAGTCACAAACATTGTTGTAATGGTCACAAACATTGTTATAATAGTCACAAACCTTGGAAGGCTGGAAGGTTTGTAACTATTATAATTTTACAATCTCTCCCACCATTGTGACTGAACCCCATAGAATTTTATTCTGTACTGTTCTGATCTTGAAAGCCTTGATCTTTTTTTTTTTTTTTTTTTTTCTGAGACAGTCTCCCTCTGCAGCCCCAGCTGGAGTGCAGTGGCGTGATCTTAGCTCACTGCAACCTCTGTCTCCTGGGTTTAAGCAGTTCTCTGCTTCAGCCTCCCAAGTAGCTGGGACTACAGGCGTATGCCACTATGCCTGGCTAATTTTGTATTTTTGGTAGCGACGGGTTTTCACCATCTTGACCAGACTGGCATTGAACTCCTGACCTCGTGATCCACCCGTCTCAGCCTCCCAAAGTACTGGGATTACAGGCATGAGCCACCACACCCGGCCACCTTGACCTTTAAATAACAAAACTAGGACAATGACAAGTGAAATCTGCCTATATGGAAGAACTTGGGAAACCCAGATTGTATTGGGCACTCAAAATACAGGAATCCTTTACAACAACTGCCAATGATTCCCTGATAGGGGTTGAGAAGTAATCAGCATGCAAGTACTACTATAGAAGAAAATAAATTTATAACTCTTCAGAATGAATTTCAAGTGCAGTGTAGAAATGTGTAGCATAACCCAAAAAATATATATAGATAGATATGGCTGTCCAGGACACAGCATCAGGGAGGAAAGAGGTTAAAGTAAGGCTGGCCAGGCCTGTGTGCTTTTAGACACTCTGTGTGGATACATGGGGATAGCTCCAAGCAGGCAGTGGAGGAGACCATGTCAGTGTTCTGTGAGTTGTCACACAGCCTTTCAGCTAGTACTTGGCTCTCCCTAAGCAGGATAAAGACAAATGGATTCAGGAGGGGCAGCTTACATCTAACCTATTAAACTGCCTGTATTACCCACTCTTAAGTGCAATGCAAAATCCCTGTATAAATGGTAAGTTGAAATTAACATTGTAAGGAATGCCATAGAAAAGAACTTTCTTTCACGATCGAGAAAGTCATAGAGAGGAACTCTCTTTTACAATCAAGAAAACTTGTAGGGGAAATTTCTGTTCACAGATTAGAGCGAAAAGAAAATGCAGAGGGCAGACTAGTTCAAAAGACACAGCCATTCTCTGGAGCTCTCAGCTTGCTAATGGGAATGGCAAATGCTGAAAGGCAAAGAAACCTACAGTGTGGGTAATTAAGATTTATCTACATGCCTATGAATCCTGACTCCTTAGACAATTTGTGAGAAATTCCCAAAACTCATTTTCTACATTATCCCCTACACATGATTTTCATGTTAATATTCTACCGTCTTCTGTTTTGGTCACGCCCCAAACCCACTTAATTATCATAGTGAGGGGGGAGCAGGAAAGACTTTGCCCAGGACTGCTGGGAGGTGTGGGAAGAAGAGGAAGCACCAGGGTTTCTGCACAGGGAGGGGGAGATTCTGCAGCGCTGTGGGAAAGGTGCTGGCACAGAGATACAGAGCCGAGTCCCTGGGTTCCGTGGGCTCGATCCTCAGAGTGGAGAATGATGCATTAGGCATCTCTGCTGAGAATCGATCCTGGCGCATCTCTGAGTCATCTACAAGGGTCCGGCTGCGGAAGTAACTAAGCAATTCCAGAGTCTGCACCAAGGTCTGTCTGTACCAAGGTCTGTCTGTACCAGAGAAGATCATTGTGGCCTGAAATGGGTTCACATCTCAAAGTTACCGATTGTCCCATCTGTGTTACTTTGTGCCTGGGCGACTGGATAACGCCAGCATCTGTTTGTGCTATAAAAGAAGACAGAATTGGGGGACCGAATAAAAAAAAATATAAGGAGTCATCAATAAAAGATTCAGCATGACCATAATACATATCGAACTCACTCAATACCAGGATACAAAGGGACACGCAGCAGAGGGTCCAGGAGCCCATGGCAGAGTGAGATCAGGTGTGGAACATTCCAGACCAAGGCCTCTGCGAGCATGAGCAAAGAAATGAATTTTGTGACATTTTATCCTCACAAGATGCATCTGTCAGTGACATCACTGAATGGGCCACCGCCCCCAACTTGAAAGCTCCTTTAATCGGAGGCTGCATCTCTGGGAGATGAATCAGGCAGGACTGAACTATAATTGAGCTGAGACACAAAGGCACACCTGTGGAGGCTCCCTGTAGGTTTGTTTTGATATTATCAATTCATAAAGCCTTCTCTATAGTATATCTTACCTAGGATCCAGCCAACTATATTCACCTGCACCTCAAACTCCAATTATTTAAATATGAACTCATTGTCTTACAGCAAGTCAGATTCTTTGCAAACTCTGCTATTTCTCTCACTGGTGGCTCTGGGCTCTTACTCCTTTGAAAGCACTTAAATTATCCACCAGTGAGTTAGGAGTTGGCCTCTGAGCTCCTCAGGAAGGGCAAGCATGTCAACTGCATTGTTAGAGATAAAAATCTGAACGGATATCCTGAAAGCTCATTAGATTTCAAAGCTCTTCTTTGCAGTGAAAGACCTGAGTTTATTTATTCTTGAATTCTATTGAGTTTGCGAAGCCCAGAACACAGAATCTCTTGCATTCTTTATTCATACAATAAAATGGAAAGAAGATTGTGCTTTTCACAAAGATTTGAAAATTAGGTGCTCGAGTTGATTTACATCTTATTTTTACCTCCAGCAAAGCTCAATGTTTCTTAATCTTAGCACCTGGACTTTTCCTTATTAAAGTGTCTTGCATCTCACTAGCAGACTTCCTCTCAGGGTGTAGAGTGTACAGAGCTGTGAGAAGCCTCCGCTCTGTGGGTTGGTCAAGTAGGTTAATTGCTAACAAAGAAGAAACAGTTTAAGGCCACATTTTTGCTGTTAGCACAGTGGCATACCGCTGAGTCCCCTGCACCCCAGGGCACCTGCTGATCCCAGGGAGAAAGTTGTTTACAGCCAAGTTTGTGTGACCTGAGGTGTCTGTTTCCTTGTGGCCTTCATCCCTTTTTGTGTCTGTTAGGTGTGGGATGTAAAATCGTGGTCAACATTCTGGTTACCAGATGATCATTTTGTTTTCCTCCCTGTTACCAAGTTCCTAGGTTTGGTAAGCAGAACTAAGGCCCTCCAACCGTGTCCAGGGCTAATCCCTGGAACCTAAAAATGTGTTAAATTACTTGTTAAAGAAAAATTAAAGTTCCACACTAAGTAAAGTTGCCAGTCAGCTGACCTTAATACAGGGAGAGTGTCCTGGATTTTCCAGGTGGGCCCAATGTAGTCACAAAGATGCTAAAATGTAGAAGAGGGAGGATGAAGAGTGAACGTCAGAGTGATGCAGCATGAGCACAGGCTCAGCCAGTCCTTGCTGGCTTTGAAGATTGAATGGGGCCGTGAGCCAAGGAATGCTGGTGGGGCTGTGAGCCAAGGAATGCTGGTGGCCTCTAGAAGCTGAAAAGGGGAGAAAAACAGTTCTCCTGGAGAGCCTCGGGAAAGAATGCAGCCCTGCCAACACCTTGATTTTAGCCCAGTTACACTCATTTTGGACTCCTGGCCTCCAGTATTGTAAGGTAGCAAATGTATTTTGTTTAAGCCTCTGAAATTAGTGGTAATTCATTACAGTAGCAATAGAAATCAAATACTTTATAGTATCCAAGTCATACATGAACACAAGAGGCAGAAGCTAGATACAAAACATAGGTAGAGGAAGATGAACAAGTCACATGGAAAGAACTTTAATTCAAGCCAAAAGAAAAAAAGAAAAGACACTATCTCTGCCCAGACCCCACCTTCTTCCAGGGGACACACAGGAGTCTGAAGTGAGTAGCAGAGGTAAACTATGAATAGACTAGGGCAGGTTCCTGCTGAGAGCAAAACTTCTTGGTGGAGAAAATTCTGTTCTACTCCACCCTAGTGCCTGCCTAATAAGTGTATATGCTGCTGGTGTTGTAATTGTGATTGTCCCCTCACTGGGGGACAGCGTCTCTCCGGTGGTCCAGGGTAGCGCTCTGTTTCTCCCCACTCTTCCCTCTACTCTCAACAGAGCAGGTAGGGCTGCCCTGAGCCAGTTTGGGGGTTTGGGACCAGGCTCTCCAAGGCTCCTGTGACATGAAAACTGCTTCCCTGCTTTCCCAACCCAGAACACTGGCACTGTACCACCCCAGTTCCTCATACATCCACATGGTAACGGAGCTCAGAGGTATAGCCACAGCAAGCACACCTGCCACTCAGCCCCATTCAGAGCTCAGTTTAAAGCAAAACCCATCTCCACACCAATAGATGCAAATTGCTTGGTCTCTAATTCCTTCATTCCCAGGCTTCACTCCAGACAGCTGCAGCCCAGCCCCTGAATCTAGGTCCAACCCCAGGGTTTCCCTTAAAAATTTTCCAGGGAGGCCGGGCGCGGTGGCTCACGCCTGTAATCCCAGCACTTTGGGAGGCCGAGGCGGGTGGATCACGAGGTCAAGAGATTGAGACCATCCTGTTCAACACGGTGAAACCCCGTCTCTACTAAAACTACAAAAAATTAGCGGGGCATGGTGGCGCGTGCCTGTAATCCCAGCTACTCAGGAGGCTGAGGCAGGAGAATTGCGTGAACCCAGGAGGCGGAGGTTGCGGTGAGCCGAGATCGCGCCATTGCACCCCAGCCTGGGTAACAAGAGCGAAACTCTGTCCCCCGCAAAAAAAAAATTTTCCAGGGAGAAATCTCAACCCCTCCCCATAGACTCTGATGACAACGAAGCTGCAGTGCCTCCTTGTGGCCAGTAGGCAAAAACAGCACAAATGTGCTTTCTTGCCAGGATACAGGGTATTTGTGCTTTGCTTTATTGAGTCATGGAGAGATGCGATAGTATGATTTGTTGGTGTTAGAAGGTCAAAGAGAAAGATTAATGTTGTTATGGCCTAAGATGGAACCACCTGAGAGATGGACATTGGAGTCAGACAAGCGGAAATAAAATATCAGTGTTAATGTTAATTATCAACAGTGCTCAGATAGAACAAACAGGACCTTCAACACTATCCTGAATCAGAATTTAATCCATTCTTTCTCCCCTCCAAACTACAGGCCAAGCCTGTAAGGAAAAGAAAGTTTTCCACTATCTTAGTGCGTGTTGAAAAAGCACCAAAAGAATCTCCCATTTTTTTTCCTCAGTAGCCAGGATGAAAGGGTGGGAGAGATGAAGAGGAGATTAAATAAGATAACATATTTTCCTTCCCATAGGAGAGATCTGGCAAATAATAGAAAGACAAAAACCAGTGTATTACTTTAGGGAAGATCCCCCAAATGGAAAACGTGGAGCCAAGCAATTTTCCAGGGGACTGGGTTCCAGTAGGAGAAGACAAGAGCCACACATCTGTGACTCCCTCCAGTTCTGACCCTTGCTGTTCAGGTGTGCTCACAAAACACAGCCCAAATGAGCCACAACAGTGCAGGAATGACGTGGAGTCCATGTTCACTCTGTGCTCTCTGATCAAGTTTATTTGTTTATTTCTTTGTTTTTTATTATACCTTAAGTTCTGGGATACATGTGCAGAACGTGCAGGTTTGTTACATAGGTATGCATGTGCCATGTGGTCTGCTGCACCCATCAACCCATTATCTACATTAGTTATTTCTCCTAATGCTATCCCTCCCCTAGGCCCCCACCCTCCTGGCAGGCCCCAATGTGTGATGTTCCCCTCCCTGTGCCCATATGTTCTCATTGCTCAACTCCCACTTATAAGTGAGAACATGTGGTTGGTTTTTTGTTCCTGTGTTAGTTTGCTGAGAATGATGTTTTCCAGCTTCATCCATGTCTCTGCGAAGGCCATGAAATCATTCTTTTTTATGGCTGCATAGTATTCCATGGTGTATATGTGCCACATTTTCTTTATCCGGTCTATCACTGATGGGCATTTGGGTTGGCTCCAAGTCTTTGCTATTGTGAATAGTGCTGCAATAAACATACATGTATATGTGTCTTTATAGTAGAAGGATTTATAATCCTTTGGGTATATACCCAGTAATGGCATTGCTGGGTCAAATGGTATTTCTGTTTCTAGGTCCTTAAGGAATCACTGCACTGTCTTCCACAATGGTTGAACTAACTTACCTTCCCACCAACAGTGTAAAAGTGTTTCTATTTCTCCACATCCGCTCTAGCATCTATTGTTTCCTGACTTTTTAATGATCACCACTCTAACTGGCATGAGATGGTATCTCATTGTGGTTTTGATTTGCATTTCTCTGCCTATCAGTGATGATGAGCATTTTTTTTCATATTTGTTGTCTGCATAAATGTCTTCTTTTGAGAAGTGTCTGTTCATATCCTTTGCCCCCTTTTTATGGGGTTGTTATTTTCTTGTAAATTTGTTTAAGTTCCTTGTGGATTCTGGATAATAGCCCTTTGTCAGATGGATAGATTGCAAAAATTTTCTCCCATTCTGTAGGTTGCCTGTTCACTCTGGTGATAGTTTCTTTTGCTGTCCAAAAGCTCTTCAGTTTAATCAGATTCCATTTGTTAATTTTGGCTTTAATTTCCATTGCTTTTTGTATTTTAGTCATGAAGGTTTTGCCCATGCCTATGTCCTGAATGATATTGCCTGGGTTTTCTTCTAGGTTTTTTATGGTTTTAGGTCTTATGTTTAAATCTTTATTCCATCTTGATTTAATTTTTGTGTAAGGTGTAAGGAAGGGGTCCAGTTTCAATTTTGTGCATATAGCTAGCCAGTTTTCCCAACACCGTTTATTAAATAGGGAATTATTTTCCTATTGCTTATTTTTGTCTGGTTTGTCAAAGATCTAATCGAGTTTCAATATTCACTCTCTTTTCTCATTACCCTGTTCCAATGAAGCATAGAAGGTTATATACTAAACAACATAAAATACTCTAAATGATAAAATGTCAAAACCAAGTGAGAGTCCCAATTTGATTATAAATCCCCCTTCAAGTTTTTAAAAAGTCCTTTCCTTGAAATTAAGTTTCAGTATAACATTTCTCTATACTATTTACGTTAAATATCAAGCAAACACAAAGACTCTGATATTAAAATTCAAAGAAAATTAAAACTTCAAATAAAATTTTTTGACCTTAATCTGAGTAATTACAGAAGAGGAAACTCAAATTGTCAGAGGTCTTTGAGCCAGAGTGACTCCATCTTAAGTGGGAAAATGACACTGGGGCTTGCTGGGCTGCATGCCCAGAAAGTTAGGTATTCCTAGCCTCTAGATGTTTATGGTTAAAGCAACAGATTAATAATTTACTAAACAGACCCAGACTTAGGAGTGTCCTGATACCCCAATATCTGAGAACAGAAACATTCCTAATTTTCCTTTATAGATATTAATATTGATTCTTGCAAAACATAGTAATTAAGAAAATTAATCCTTTATCACAAACCCCTGAAGCAGAGTACAACTATTCACGGTCTTTTCTTATCCTGTATATAAACAAGCATTGTACCGAGGGTAGATGCGGTCCTCCTCTTACTTTCGGGAACACCCAGCTTTGTCCGTGGAGTAGCTGTTCTTTCACCACTTTACTTTCTTAATAAACTCGCGTTCGCTTTGCACCGTGGAATCGCCCTGAATTCTTTCTTGCATGAGATCCAGGAACCCTCTCTTGAGAGTTGGATCAAGACCCCCTTCCTGTAACAAAATTAACCCTTCTTCTGTTATTATTTAAATAGTGGGGTAAATAGCCACACTAACAAAACCTGCAACTAATTAATATCCCAAAGACATTATGAGGGATAACTGGGCAGGAACCTGAGGAGTGAGCCCAGCAGTCACTGCTTTTCGGGGCATTTGCTGATCTCAGGAAGCTGACTCACGGGCCAGAGGGGCAAAGGCTAAGACCAGAGTTTACTGACTGTGACCGTTGAGGAACTTGAACAGAAACAATGAGCTACAGGGAAGCCTGCTCTCCAGGTGCTCCAGGACACCTCATGCCTTGAATTCTGTTTCAGGGAGTCCTGGATTGTTTATGCATCCATGCACTTTATTAAACACAACAAAATTATCTCTGTAGAAAGATACGTCCATCCCAGACCAAAAATTATTTCTACAACCATAGTGTCTGGCACAATGTCAAAAAGTCAGGGTTATAAGGAAAAACACAAACAAATGACTGAGAAGCAGCACAAAAGAAAATCAACACAAACAACCCACAAGGATCTCGGCGGTGAACATGATCAGACAGATTGAAATAACTGAGTGTCCTACGTTCAATGAAATACAAGAAAGTCTCAAGAAATGTTAAGAGGGAATTACTGACAGCAACAGTCCTTCAGAGGATTCCCAGGAAGCTGCCTTTCCAAACATTTTAACCAGTACTTCAGAATGATTTCTAGTACAAGAGAGTCTGGGCAGAAGTTAGGGTAGAGACTAGAGCGGGACACACACAGCGCATTATCGGAGGAGGTAACTGGACCAGGGCAGTTAATTGCTTCCAAAGTGCTGGCAGGAATATCTAATGTACCAAGGACCTATTTTAATATACAAGGGCAGACAAGTGAAGTGTTCTCACCAGCCTCTGAACTAGCTGACCCAGGCCTAACTATCGTGTTGGGCTGTGTCTGTTACATTGAAAAGTTAAAGCGCTCCGAAGAAGCAGAATTCATTTCAGGCTAAGACTTGGGGATGGCTGTCAGGATATGTATTTGTGTGCACTTCTTTGAAGTTTAAAGAGCGCTGAATGAAATAGCTGAAATGATCAACATCATCCTCATTACAATATTATTATTATTGCCGTATTTCCACAAAAAACAGAGGAAAAAGATTTCCAAACACAAAGTATCTGTTGAGATTTGATTGCATGAAACATCCAGTGTGAGGTCTAGAAGGGGCTCCAGAGCCAGGATAAGATTAAAATCATTCAGATGCTGCAACAGCAGAAGGAGAGCCTACTGTTTGTTACTTGCATGTAATCAATATCTGTATTAGTAAAGCTTACCACACATGTTTTGGTGATTTTATGTTTTTGTTTTTCAAGTTTATGTATTTATTTTCTTAATTAACAAACATCATCATATGCATTTTCTATAGAACAACCACGCTCACTACCCCTGAGGACTAAGTCTGTGATAAGTCGCTTTCAGTTTTGGTTTCTCGAATTCCCACCCAGAAGTGTTTCAAATCCCTAAGACATATTTTCAAACAACAATTATAGCACTCGTGTTTTAAGAAATAGTTCATCTCCTTCCACTACATGAATCCTAGCTATGTCTGAAAGCTCACTTCCTCCCTGGAAGGATGAGGAATAAGGAAAGGCTGCCATGAGCTGACAGAGAGGAGACAGCCTGGAGTTTTGTGCACAGGAGAGAAGGTCTCTGTGATGCTGTGGCTACGCTGCTGGCACAGAGATACACGGCTGAGTCCCCAAGCTCTGCAGGCTGGATCTTGAGAGTGGAGTGTACGCCTTTGAGCTTCTGCAGAAAATCCATCTTTAGGCAACTGTGAATCATCTACTACCCCTTCATCCTGAAATCGAATCAGAAGCTCAGTGCCCCGTCCCAGGATCTGCCGGTACCAGTAAAGGATATCATGGCCATAAATAGGATCACACCAAAAAGCCACAGCCTGCCTTTTCTCTGTAATCTTATATCTGGGGGCCTGGACAACTCCAGCTTCTGTGAGTTCTGTGAAGGAAAAGGACAGAACAGAAAGAAATAATTGAAATAATCACTGAAATTTCCAATGGGATGATCATGATGTTCTTAGGACTCACCTGCCCCCAGGAGGGAGAGGGCCACCCAGCAGAGGAGGCTGGTGCTCATGGCAGGGTCAGGGCAGGATGGGAGCTCTGCCAGTTCAGGGTCCTTGTGAACAGGAGCAGAGGAGGAGGGACATTCCTGTTCTTATTTGGCAGTTTCTACAATAACCTCATTGTCTCCACAAATTCCTAAGGTCTTAGTGACCAATTGTTATGAACCAAAACAGAGCTAGAATTTGGTTTAGCCATATTCATGGACTGTGTGTAAGTTCATCCAAGCGTCTGTACTCACATCCCTAGGGCTTGGGGGATTGGATCACCCACTACATCTCCAGGCCCATCCTCTACTGGATGTTTCTACTTGAATGTGTCAAAGGCAACTCAAAATACAGACAGCAATTAGTAACCTCTGTGTCTTAATCTGTGTATTTTTCTCTTTGGGCATGTCTGTCTTACCAGGTTCTCCATCTACTCATTGCTATTATCTTAGACAGAGTGAGAGCTGGGATAGCTGACACAGGTTTATCCTAGAAGCACGTTGAACTAGCTGAAGCTCTAAGCTAAAGGGGTAAAATAATACCCTGAGACAAAGTTGGAAAAGTTCATTTTTTTGTGAAGACCAATGACCAGTTTTCTCTTTCTTGTTATTAATTCTCATGATGCAGTGTGTACCAAGTCTTTATCATGGTTCTGCCTGTAGTTCTTGGTTATCAATGTAATGAAAGTTCTGATATAAGATGGGTGGAGAATCTCTTATCTCTGAAAATATCATTGTGGATACTGTAAGAAATCCACAATCAGATTTGTTGAAATCTAAACAAAAACAAAAACAAAAACAACCTTACAGCCTTAGTATAACTTACAAATAAACAGCAATGGCTAATATTTGGCATTTCTTTTCTAATGGGGCAGTATTAGTCACAAATATACTTTTATTCATTGCCTAGTGGGTAAAAGATGGAAAGAATTAGGGATGGGGCCCCTGAGAGTTGGCATAAGACACTAATATAAGGACACACATGTCCAGAGAGGTAGGAACGAGGATATATGTGTACAGTGAGATGAGCTCAGAGATATTCCACCAAATCCCCAAAACCTAGGGGACACATGTCAAGGTTATCAGGTGAATACCTGTGGGTATAGAATTACCAGAGCCATCTGTTTCTGTCATAAATCCTCTGTCACTGAGGTAAACAGCTACTGGTTTGAGTCCAACTCATGTAACACCAGGTAATAGTTACAGGATGGAAAATGTCTTCACATTAAGGGGCCACTACCTGCTCCATCTTTGTGACCAGGGTTACGGCTCTGAGTGACAACAGCATTCAGGGGATAGAGGTTGGTGGCTAGAAACAGGACTTATCCATCTATCAAACCTATCAGTCACAGGACCCATATGTGATGTGTTTGCAAGTGAGGCATGCCAAGACCAGGGAAGACATTCCTGTTTGTTTCTGGGCCTCACCAGCTTCCTGGGCAGCACAACTGAGAAATCCATGACAGAATCCTTGTCAAGGCAGGAATGGGGCAGCATCATGCTGCTCAGGGAAGAAAAGGCCAGAGCTCTGGGAAATCTGGTTCTTATTCAGAATATTTTCAGGGTTATTTGAGCTGAGCCTATCTGGGGAGGTCTGAAATTGTCCACTCCCCTCTCCTACATTCCCTTGACATCATCCTGTCCATCGTCCTGGGCACAACTGGAATGGGTTTGGTGTGGGGTACAGGTACATTGCTAAGGTTTCTCTGAGTTCTCCTGAAGAGAAAATGGTTCTCCCTTTATATGGGTCTCTGAGCATGCAGGCTGGCTCCTGGTTCTCTTCCATCTACCCCTGATGCAAGCCCAGGACATTCTCCACCCAATGATTTGCTACAGTTGGGGTTTCTCTGCTGAACGGAGGATGCCTGTATCGATGGGGGAATGAATAGTTTCTATTTAATGTCTCACATTCCACTGGCCACTCACAACATCTGCAAACTAGATTCTGGTTGCTGGGATGAAGCCACACATTTCCTTTAAACTTAACTCCTCGGACAGCACTAAGCCCTGATTTAAAAGCAATCAACCCCAGCAATCCCTAGTGCTGTCTGCTGGCCAGTGGTTCCGAAACACCAGGCTCAGGCCCTCCATCCATAGGTCAGAAATACTGGGGGCATGTCTATATTGTCCTCAGTAGAATCAGGGTTAATAATGGACAGTGTTTGTGAGGCATTGGGGGAAATCCCTCCCAGCTCCATCTATTCCTACCGTCTTGCCAGAACCCCACCTGCAGTTTGGCTGTGGTTTGTTCCCACCAAAACTCAGGTTGAGGGTTGGTCCTCAATGCAGCAGTGTTGCAATTTTGAGCCCCATGGGAGTTGTTTGGGTCATGGTGTTGGATTCTTCCTGGAAGATTAATGCCAGGAGTCAGTTCTCTCTCTCGGGGATCCGGATTAGTTACTATAAAAGCAGGCTGGTATAAAGTGAGGGTCTTGCTCATCGTGGCTCTCCTTGCACGGTCCTGCTCATTCTTCCATTTCTCTTCCATGCTGTGACACAGCACGAAGCCCAGCAGGTGCTGATGCCCTCTTGGGCTTTCCAGCCTCCAAAACTGTAAGCCAAATAAACCTTTTTTCTTTAAAAATTTCCCAGCCTCAGGTATTCTGTTACAGCAGCAGAAGACAGACTAAGGTCTTCTGCCCTCTCCCCCTTACACAAGTACATACTTCCCAGCTCTTATTTGGCAAAATCACTACTTTTCCGTTTGCATTTAGTCATCTTTTGTTGGAATTCACTTGGGATGGCTGGCAAAATATTAGGGAAAGTTAGAAGACTATAGTCTCAAACCTTTCGGAAGGCTGAAAGGTTTAATGGAACAAGCTGAAGGCATTCAGTTCTTAGAGTATTAAGTCCTACAGTGAAGAGATTTAGGGACAATAAAAGCTTCCCCAGTTATGTCTGTTTACCCCACATTCCTTTGTTTCTACTCTAACTGTTTACTCATGTAAACTTTGTGCTGGATGGTCCTCTCAGGGGGAGGTCGAAGTACCCATTAATGGTGTTTACTCTGGGCCCTGGAGCCAAAAGCTTTTATCATTCGTAAAACCACTCTTTTAACCATGTTAATTTTCCACAAGTATGTTGACTTGGAACCTCTGTTATTAGAACTATACTGAATAAATGTGAGGAGGTACAGGGAGTTGTGGTCAGTTAGCTGCAATCACCCTTTGAAAGCAACTGGTGACCATTCCTAGCCCCCTCGAAATCACTGTAGTGGGTGTGAGAGTGCATTCATTCATCCGTCATTGAGGGTCTGTAGGACAGACCTCCACAGGTGGTGATCGATGTCTCAACCTTTGAAAGTTTTTGAGTTTTTGGCCAGACTGTAGAATGCTCAGAATCTGTTGACACAGAGAAAACGTTTGTTATACGGCCTCCTGGCATGCACTGCTAACCAGGTTTTGTGCCAGTCTTAGAGATATCAAGCTGTTTTGTCCTCAATCTATAAATTATCTTATCTTATTTTGATATTTTCTTAAAAATTATAGCCTGGCTCCTGTGAAAATAAAGTATTCCATAGGGCTAAAAAAGACCTTATCTTTTATATTTATTTTGTGATAATGACAGAATATTTCAAATATATTGAAAATAAATATGAGACACCCAACATTACACTGAAATAATGCCAACATTTTATTTTTGTCTTTTAATACTTTTTATTCAAAGCCTATTTAAAAACTAAACACCTATGGAAAAGTTTAGAGAACCATAAAAACAAACGGAATCTTAAAATGTTCATCTGTGTACTGGTTGTTAACATTTTGTGACCTTTATATCTCTCTGTGTATCTAACCCTTAATTTCTGAAACACTTTATCCTTAGTAATTCAATATGTCTCTTCTAAATAATTGGCATTACCATACACAAATGTCACTATTACACTCAAAAAATTAGCATTCATATAGCATCATTATCTAGCAGATACTTTACATTCAAATTTCTCCAGTTGTCTCAACATGTCCTTTGGTTTTGATTCACTTTTTCCTCTAGGACAATATCAAAGATCCTGTATTTCAGGAGATTGTTAGATCTCTTAGTTGCTTTTAAATGATACATGTCCTCCATCCACTTATTATATTTTCTCTTTTTCATGGCCATAATTTTTTGAAGTGCCCTGGCCAGCTTACTTGTAAACAGCTCACAGTAAAAATTTCCATATTATTAGAGGTTAATTACTTGGTAACTGTACACCACAGATGACGTCTATTTCCCATTGCATCCAGTCAATTGCAAGAACATGGAATGACATTTTCATGGATCTTTTCAATGCTAAATTTGAGATGATGACACCAGATCTCTCCATTGTGAATGTGTCCTTTACCCTTTGTAATTAGGGAGTAATCCGTGTCTTGATGCTTTGAAACAATGTACATATACTGTTAGGACCCAAAACCATATATAAGGAAAGAATGGTTGAAAATTTCCCAAATCTGGGGAAACACAGCAACATCCAGGTGCTGGAAGCTTCAAGGCTGCCAATAAATTCAACCAAAAAAGGCCTTCACCAAGACACAATGTAATCAAATTACCAAAAATCAAAGACAAAGAATACTGAAAGCAGCAACTAGTAAGAAACATATCATATTCCAAGGAGCTTCAGTACAGCCTTCAGCAGATTTCTCAGCAGAAACCCAATAGGCCAGGAGAGAGTAGAGTTGAATAATTCAAAGTAGTGAAGCAACAAAAACTGTTAGTTTAAGCATCTACTGATGGAATTTGTCTATAATTATGTTGATGATTATACTGACTTTCTAATTAGATATATCAACTAGCATTCTTCTGTAATGAAGAGATTCTTATCTATCGCTTTTTATTGTCATTATGGCCTCATAGATTTTTATAACTTGTTATAATTCAGTATCCTCATTATTCCTCTTGCATTGACCCAGATTTGGCTAATGGAGCCCTTTGAAATTGCTTCTGTGGATTTCAGACATCTCTTCTTGGTTCTGACCTTTTTCTTTATTTCTGCCAAAAGATGTTCTAACACTTTTCCTGCCTTAGATATGGAAGCAGCCTATTATAAGGAATAACATTTAGAATAAAATACTGTACCTATTGTTACTGGGGGACACAAACAGAAAGCAAATACAGCTATTAGTTAGTTTACTTTGTATTGTTTCTTAGACCCTTCTCTGGATAAAGTTAGGAAATATATAATCTTTAAAACCTTAAGTTCATATTAATAACTCCAGTTCAAATCAGCGCCACAGATTTCTTCTTCATCTTCCCTATTTCTTATTTATATCTCTCTTTTCTTTGTAAAAAAAATCTAATTCCCAGAAATATCAATAAATTACTTATTTTCTCTCTTCTACAGAATACTCAAAATATCTCAGAAGTTCTGCACTAAAAACACTAGCCACAACAAATCTCCCAAGAGAAGTTCAATCTCAATTTCCTTTAGTATCATCAGAGCACACCAGTGTAAATCTAATGACAACAGAAACTAATAATGCAATCAGGGTCAGGCGAAGTGGCTCACACCTGTAATCCCAGCACTTTGGGAGGCTGAGGTGGGCGGATCACAAGGTCAGGAGTTTGAGAGCAGCCTGGCCAAAATGGTGAAACCCCATCTCTATTCAAAATAGAAAAATTAGCCAAGTTTGGTCATCCCAGCTACTCGGGAGGCTGAGGCAGGAGAATCACTTGAGCCAAGGAGGTGGAGGTCGCAGTGAGCTGAGATCACACCACCGCACTCCAGCCTGGGCTACAGAGCAAGACTGTGTTTCAAAAAACAAAACAAAACACAAGCAAATAAAATAAATATTACCTCCAAAGAAGATACGCAACTTGCCCATAGGCATAAGAGAAGACACTTAACATCTTTAGTCATTAGGGGTTGCAAATTAAAATCACAATGAGATATCATTCACACTTACTAGGATGGCTATAAAAATAGTAATCATCATCATATTTTTGAAAATAAAAAGAAAATGTTAAATAACAAGTCCTGGAATGTTGTGAGGAAACTGGACATTGCTGATGGAAATCTAAAATTGTGCAGCTGCAACAAAAAACACATTTTGGTAGTTATTCAAAAGGAGAAACAGAATTACCAAAGGACCCAGAAGTTCCACTCCTAGGTATACCCGAAAGAATTGAAAACAGGGAATCAAACAGATATTTTCAGGCCAATCTTGACTGCACCATTGTTCCCAATAACTACAAGGTGGAAACCACTCAAATGTCAATCAACTAATGAATGGATAAACAAATGTCTTATAGACATACAATGGAATATTATTGAGAATAAAAAGGAATGAAGTTCTGATAAATGCTACAATATGATGCACCTCAAAAGCATTATGCTAAGTGAAAGAAGCCAGAAACAAAAGGGAAAACATTGCCTGGTTTCATATAAATACATTATCTACAAACAGTTTTCACTAGTCCATATGTCTACTCAAATGTAGGACTGTCATTCCTTGGAAAAGTATCCAATCTAATAATTTTGAAATCATAGTTTACTGTTTCAGGTTGCAATATTCTGATTGTAAGTAAGCTTGAAAAGTTATTCTCATATTTAGTGGTAACTTAGGTTCATTCTTCTGTGAATTGCCTACTCAGCCTCAGTATTGCTATTTTTTTGAGTTGTCTTCTTAATACTAAGTAATAAGAATATTTTACTCATTCTAGATACTGATTCTTTTAGACAAGAACAGCTGTGCTACAGAAAGCAAAATAAAGCAGAAGTCTCCTAAAATCTCATTGGCTTAACTCTATGAAGTCTTACTTTCCGTGACCACAAAGTCCACTGTGACGTGAGCAGCTTTCTTCAGTGATTGTCCACCAAATTATGACTCAGTGAGCTAGGCTGCTTCCATATTATCAGGCAATCTGTACCATGTAGCTCCCAAGTTCAAGGCATGGCAAAGAGAGGTGAAGAGTGTGCACAAGAGTTGACAGCAGGCTGGAGACTGCGGTGCTTAGAAAGTCCTGCTTACAAGATTGAACTTTGGCTGACATCTGGGAACTTGGCTGGTGCCCTGAACTGACATGAAGTTTCTCCTGACTGAGAGGAGGGGCTCACTGGGCCTAGACTGGTGTTGCAAATAATATTATGCTGAACATCAGATTTCCTTCTGGGATCTAGACTTTTGGTTCATGCCAGACAGTAGGTGCCTGTGTGACCAGCCTCTACTAAAACCTCTTGGGTGCTGAGTCTGTAATGGGCTCCCTTGGCAGAAACACTGCACGTGTGTTAATGCATTTTTGCTGCTGGGAGGAGAGAGAGCTCTGGGTGACCTCTCATGGGAGGAAGAGAGCATAAGGAAGCCTGCCTGTGAATTCCTCCCGATTCCACCTGTGTGTTTTCTTCATATGATCTGCTGCAGCGTATTTACTATGACACTTTAATAAATCTCAGCCATGAGTACAACTCTATGTCACATACCAATACTCTACAAATAGAAGTACATTTAGAGACCCTAAACACAATGCTACAGAATATTTCTAAGGGCCAGGCTTGGAATGAGCTGACATCATTTTATCCCACTCTTCAGAGCCTGGTGAGATATTTCCAACCCTCCAACTGCAAGGCAGACCAGGAACCATGGAGGAGCTACAGGTATTCAGTGACCTGAAATGTTCTCTGTCACACTGATTTTTCGTCATTTGTATGCATTCCTCATGCCTTTCCCAGGCGGCAGCTTAACTTTTTTTTATGGTGTTTTGACTTGCAACAATTTAATGTAACAATATGCATAGTGGTATGAATATTGTTCTTTTGGCTTTTTTTTGTTTCCTCTAAAATCTCATCCCTCAAATGAATGCTAAAATTATTTTTCTTAAATTTTCTAAAGGCTTGTTTTTTGTTTTTTGCTTTTTACAATTGAGAGCAAATGTGCCTGAAATACACTTTAATTTAAGAAATGAAGTAGAGATGTGGTACTACGTGGGTGGCACGTATGCTCAGAGCAGAAGAAAGAATTTATATAAACAATCCCAAGGGCGGAAAACAACTGACACATATGAAGAAGTAACTGAATGTAGGGGAGTGTGGCTGGAGCAGAGAGCCAGGGAAAACTTGGTGCAAAATGATGATAGAGAGGTAGGTAAATGGTTAATGGCATAGGATCTTGTGGGCTCTATTGCCCTTAGAAGAAAGCCCCTCCCCCACCCACTGCCAGCCCAGGAGCAGAGACCATACGGGAAAAGATTTATGATTGTGAGTTGAAGGGTAATAGAAGGTAAAGGAAAGGGTACATGGAAAGATCACCCAGCCCTTAGGGGAGAGAAGAGTATAGTGGGTTTGAAATGTCAAGGAAATTAGGAATCTCAAAGATGCCTTTTTCATTTTAGAAATGGAAATAGGGGACTGCGGAAGCTAAGGGTGTTGGGATGACCTCCAGTTCCTATGACTTTGTTTGAACAAAGCATTCCTTACCTAAATCACAGTCACTGTGATAGAGGCTACGATTAGAAGGAGGTAGTTAGTTCACAAGTGCCTCTAAAACTCATTGCTAGGAAAGCCTTCATGCAGGCTCAGGCTGCAGTTACAACAGGAATAGTCTTCTCCTCCCTGGGCTTCATGGGCATAATGTTAAAAAATAAAAATAAAAAAAAGAGAGAAGAAGAAGAAGAATTCCAAACTACTTGGAATCATCACTTAGCCCTTGCCTGAGACTGGGGTAGGAATGGAACTCAACACCAAGGGTCACGTGGCCCCTGTTCTGCAGCCCCCAGGCTGACCAGGGCTCTCTGACTCCCAGGAAGGCTGGGACGTGAGAGCACAGGCAACTTCAATCATTCTAACTGCCCTTTATGAGCAGAGAGGAGGCAGCTGTGCAGCACTGTGGAGTCACTGCTGGCGCAGAAATATACAGATGTCTGGGAGGAGAGAGCAGACTCCAGAGTGAGGGGGAAATCCTCTGGGTTTGATCTAGAGACTACGTAGCCATCAGGGACTTCTCCTTTGTTAATGCCTTGAACACCATATGAGTAATGGATCAGCCTCAGCCCGTGCCCCAGGTCTTGTCGATACCAGTACATATAGTTGTGGTTCCAAGTCTGGCGACACTTCAAGGTCACCTGTCTTCCTCTCTCTGTGACCTTGTGTCTTGGGCTCTGAGTGATTTCAGCATCCCCATGTCCTATAATAGAGAGCAACAGACACTGATGCCATCCCAACAGAAAAGCTTGCATGGAGGCCTTGGGAATTCCAGGGAAGGAGGCCCTCCTGTGACCAGTCCTCACCTGCTCACAGCAGACAAAGGGCCACACAGAAGAGCCTGGTGCCCATTTCAGCTCCAGGGCAGGATCTTGTGTCTCCCAGCCCTGCTGTGGGCAAACTGAAGTTGGGCTCTCAGTGACTCGATGATGTCACTGGCCCTGCTAAATGGGTGAACTGCAGAGCTAACCTGCCACGCCCCTTCTCTTCCCCACGGAACAAATCATGTATAATAGAGTTGAATAATTTTTAGGTCTGTTTTGAAAGAAATCTTATAAACTCATGAGCTCTTTCCATGATTTTAGTAGGGGAATTTGTTCTCCTATGTATATTTTATTCCTATCATGAGAAATTCTTTATTTGAATACTACTTTCATTTTTGTGAATATTTCTGTAGTCTAAAGAACATTGTCATAGCAGTCCTGGTGACTTTTATGACTTCCTTGCACAAAATTCAACTCCAAGTTGAATTATTTTCCTCTTTGGTTAACCTCTGGATACTCGTATTCAGCCTACAGGGACACCCTTGGTTAAGGGGTCACCTGACATCCAGAAAGGTTTCCAAGTTTCAGGTTCAGGGTCATTACCATTTGAAGACTTGTTTCCTGCGTAGCACCTCATTACACCCGAGAGGAGCCTCACCATCTGAGCCCAGGCTGCTATGTGTTCGCACGGGATTTTTCCCTTTGCTTCAGGTGAAGCCACAAACACTGCACCTAAATCCCCTGAATGACTGTACTTACCACGAAGAAAAGAGGAGGCTCATTAGGAATGTGGTTGAAATATTCACCAGTAACTGCACCTATCTAGAGTCTCTAGGGTCACAGGGATAGGCTCTATTTCTATCCAGAAGATCTTGTATTCATCTAATAGAAGAAGGTTGATGGATTCATAAATGTGCTATGGTTCAAAACTCACATCTAGTCAATAGCACTGTAATAGTTATTTCAGATACAATAGATTATCTCTTGCACATCTTGATGTAACCTGGTTGGGTAATTCCCACAATCATGCTCCAGTGGGAGAGGACACAGAATCAGAAGTGGAGATGGGGAGGAGACCCATGAGCACCCCCAAGGGAGGCCGTGGCTGGGGCCTGGCAAGCCCAGGAAGGACTTTCCCGTCTATGCCCAGAACTCACCTGGTCCTGGAAGACCAAGAGCCACACAACAAAGGAGCCAATCCTCATGGCTGAGCCAGAGCAGGAACAACAATAAAAAAAGCTTTTCAGATCAGGACCTTCATTTTGCAAGGGAGGGCACATAGACTTCCAGAGCTCTAAGGATCATTCCCTAAATCAGGTGTGATCTACCAAGAATGTCAGCACTCTCAACAACACTCTGTCTTCTCTGGAGAGATAAGCATCTATCAGGAATATATCCTTCTACTTTTAAATTAATTTATTATTAAGTATAATAAATATAATAATTACGTGTTAAAATTGTCTACCTCAACTTTAAGTTTTGTCTGTTTTTTGCACCGGTGTTTTCCAAGTACCTGGACAGTGCCTATGTAGTTACCGTAAAGCCAATGAAGACTAGCCACAGGGCATCTCACTTGCACAGGGTCTTTACAACTCTTTGCTATTTGCATTCTTTTCTGCAAAGAGCTACCTAAAATGTACCAACTTTGTGCCCCACAAAACTTGAATCTACTTTTCACCTATAACCCATCAAATGTTTGTTAACTGAATGAAGAAAGGAATGAATGATTATCTGAGTCCAGGCAGATTCTACTGCTGTAAACAGAATCCAAGTTTATTCAGTTCAAAATAGGTTCAAAGTTTTAACGGAGCAGAGAGCCATCCTGAGAATGCTGGGAATGCCTGATGAATCCAGATGAACTTGGAAAAGATTAGTTTATATACATCATCAGAAGACTTTTTGAATGAATCAGTAGCAGCATGAATAAAAGAAAAACAGTGGTCCCCTTCAAAAGGAAGGGTCTTTGGATGGTTGCTTCATTCCATCACTACCACAGATCAGGTTGTCTCTGAAGACAAAGTCTATGATGGGGAGGCTTGGGTGCATGTAGCTTATTTGAGAAATGATTCCAGGAAAAAGTAAGAGAGCAGGAAAACAAAATAAGGAATGAATAAACCAGGATAAAAGACAATATTGTGTTTGTGCTGGGGCAAGAGGAGATGGAATCCATTGGGACCGCCAAGAGAACACAGGATGCTCTCTGGAGTGCCTGCCTGATTGGGCAGGTTGGAGCGTTTGTTCCCCTGTCCTGTTCCACCAGGAGCATCAGGATCTCTGGCTGTCTTTGAGTACAGCCCAAGTGGGCTCAGATAATATCAGAGAAGGCCCCAGAGCAGGAAGCAGCAACATTCCAAGTAGACACTGCGGAGGGGCACTGTCAGCAAGAGGTGAATGGGAACTGGTACTGTCCATGGCAGCAAGGCTGAAATCAGAGATGGGAGGAGAGGATGTAATGGAAGCCACTGGAGGATCCTCTATGGTCTTCTTTCCAATAAAGCTGTGCCTTCTTCTATAAGCTCTCTTGTGTGATGGCCAATCGCACTGAAGCCATATCTTTCCGGGAGCACCACACCTACATGCAAGTCAGACTCAGTTATCAAGCAGGAAGTTCATAAGGGGTAACATTGTCATATTTCCTTAATTGGCAACTCTTTATCTTAATTTTACTGAATGAACTATCAGACTACATATTTGCATTTTAGATGACTGTGTCTGAAACGTAGTTGAATCAGGCAAAAGTAATATGTGTCTGCCTTTGTTACCAGAATTTCACAGAGTAAATAACTGTGCCAGATTGGAGATTTGGCAGAGAATTTATAGGGCCCTAAGATTTCTTGAACCTACACTTTATATGACTCTTTTTAAACTTATCTCTCTAAAATCTCTGCAAGACTGGCCAACATGGTAAAACCCCATCTCTACTAAAAATACAAAATTTAGCTGGGCATAGTGGCATGCACCTGTAGTCCTTGCTACTCGGGAGGCTGAGGCAGGAGAATTTCTTGAACTTAGGAGGTGGAGGTTGCAGTGAACCAAGATCGCACCATTGCACTCCAGCCTGGGTGACAGAGCGAGACTCTGTTTCAAAAAAAAATTAACTAATGAATAACAATTTTTCATGTACTTTCCCTGACGGTAGATTGCATCAGGCACAGGAAGACTACAATTCCCATAAAAACCATTCATCCTTTTTGTTGTGGACCTGGGAAAGCACCCTCCTCATGCAGTATCCATAAAAGAGATCACACAGCCTTGCCCAAAGGATGGCTACAGTGCAGAAAACTGCTCCCCCTCCCTTTTTTAAAATCACAATAAAGAATAAATGGATACGTTTTGCCTGGAAATCATATGTTCATTGTACTTGTCAGGGGAGAAGTTATAATGCTCACAGTATAATGCATGACCTTCATATTCTGCTCATGGTGACATGAAAAGGGTACACCAGGCCAAAGGACAGATCTACGGAGTGTGAGGGGACGGTGCAGAGGTGTGGAAAGAGCAGACTTCAGCTAGCTATTAAATATGAGCCCCAGGACATCTGCTGTCCCTCAGATACATAAACAGGTAAAATAATACTTAGCTTACACAGTTTCAGTGAGCATTAAACCAGGGCATGTACAGAAGCTCCAGAGAGTGTCTGGGAAAGGCCTGTCCACTCTCCAGGGCCTGAGCCCCTCTGGCTGGCAACACTCCCCTCACTGTCACTTCCTGAGTCGGGCAGGAATGTTATTGCACAGAAGGCTGATGCTCACGCAGGGCTGTGCTACGCTGCTGGCACAGAAATACAAAGCCGAGTCCCCCAGCTCCAAAGAGCTCAGGTTTAGTTCAGAGCTCATATTAGGGAACTGTTTTCCTGAGAATCGTTCGGGAATGTTTCCTTTTTCTCTCTCATTCTCATTATAGTACTGAATGAGGAGCTGGAGGCTCTGGTCCAGGCTCTGTCGGTACCAGTACACAGAGAGGTCTCCAGACCTAGGGGAGCATGTCAGCGCCACTCGCTGTCCAATTGCTGTGAGCAGGTGCTTTGGGGTTTGTGTGACTCCAGAATCCACTGGGCCTGTGTGTCAGAAGACAGAAGTTAAAGGTAAGGCACAGAAGAAAGCCATCATCGGCCCGTGTGCATTTCAGGGATAGGAAATGGAGATCAGAGACTTTCAAGCTGTGTCCAGGACTCACCTGCTCCCAGGAGACAAAAGGCCACACAGCAGAGGAGCCTGAAGCCCATGGCAGCATCTCCTCGCTGGGGCTGGGGTCTCTGTAGTAAGCCTTCTGCAGTTCCCACGCTCTCTTCTTCCTGATAGGAGCATTGGCCCATGATGTCACCGCACTGACTCCGCCCTCCCCCCCACCCCCGCAGGCCACTCCACGCACTGCACTCTTTTGTCAGGTGTCAGGTTCTACTACTCCATGTACTGTAATTCCTGTCCTGCACAGCCCTGAAGCTCAAGGTGAGGAGGATCGAACGCAGTTCCCACATGTCCCCATCACACCTTACTTCCCTCTGCCCACCCTGTCCCTGCGCTGATACTAACTCCCAGCCCTTGCCACCCCAGCCCCTTCACCCTGCAGAGGCAGAGACACTCCCTACTTGGTGCAAACCGAGGACTCTGGCGCCCCTACCCTTCCAAGGCAATGAGAGTTTATGCTGAACTCACATGTCCCGGCCCCACTCAGGGGACTCCCTCCACCCCGCTGATGCCAGCAGGCAGCCCAGCCTCCCCTTCAGCCCTCCCCTCCTGGCACTCTCCCACCCCTCCTCTGAGTTCTCCGCAGCACTGCGGAGCCGCAGCGCCTCCAAGTGGCCAGCGGTCTACAGTCTCATGGATTCATACCTTCTGACCTGAGATGTTCAAATTGGCCAAATCGGGAACACAGATGCCCCCACACCTGCAACCCCCACCCTCTTACACACCCTCTCCATGCTTTCCCAGAAGTGTCAATTTAGGGTTGAGTTTCAAATCCACCCTTGGCCAATGGAGGAAAGGACACATGAACCAACATTTTGATTACAAAATAAACAATTGTTACATAATTGCAAATAATACGGTAAGATGGTAGAGAGCAGCCAGAATTATACAAGCCATACAGTTAGACAGTGTGATGGTATCAAGCAGACAGCCTGGAAACCTTATATTCCACAGCTCCTCTCAGCTAATTACACCTATATGCTTTCATATTTTGTATTTAGATTCATTATTACTAAATTTTAGATAGTACATTTTATAAAACGGTTTCTAGATTTTACAAATTTACTTCTAAATTGTAAAGATTTGAAATGAATAACACTGCCAGCTGTAACTCAGGCAGATTCAGTTGGTTCTCACATTTGCCATCACTACACTGAAGCGACTTTGATCTCTAACCAAGAAATAATTAGTGGTTAACAATATCCCTCATATTAATAACAGTAATAATATTCCAGGACTCTATGTAAGCAGGAATTGACATGTATTTCACAACATCCAAGAATATTTATGATATACTTAATTAATACTTGGTTTTTCCTATGAAAATAATAAAGATGGTGATCTAGTACAATGCGGGGGAATGTCATGGTAAGAAGTGAAGAGGAAAGCAGGTGTGAGCCCATCCTTGACAGATGAGTCTGGCTGTTTCTTGGGAGAAAGAAGGTCTTTCCAGGTCGTGGAAATACTGAGCGCAAATGCAGACAATGTAAAGGCTGCAGAGTTTTAGGAAATAATCAAAGAGGTGTTTGGTCGCAGAAGGTAATAGGACCTGGGCGGTGAGTGTCAGAAAGAGATACCATGGAAGTTGAATTTGTCTTTGGGAAAATGGGAGCCTTTGTCTGTTTATCATCAGCAGCAAAATGACCTCCTCTGTTTTGAAAGTTGAGGCCGAAGTCCAGAAGGAAGACATTGGGACCAGCTCCAGGGCCATCCCACAGGGCAACTGGCTCTGCAGTGATGACCATCCTAGGCTGGTCCCAGGATGATGCCAGTTGCTACCAGGCCTTGAAGCACATTTTCTAGCTATTGAAAACTTTGACAGGTTATGTTGCAGCGAACACAATTGTTTTATCATCTGGTAGCTCTACCTCTATTTTTAAATAATCTTTAATCATGGTCTCCTCAAATTTCCCCAAATTTCAATTTCTTCTCTTAATTATGTAAAGCAAGCCCTTGAGATTTTACCTTCTATATTACACATCTGTCCAACAATCCTGACACCAAAATGAATTTCTTTTCCTAAAAAGGAGAGTGTCAGCTACTCTATGACTGTAGTGTACAGCATCCAGCAAAGAAGGTAATTTGCATGAACCTCCTGAAGCAGCAGCATCCTCTGAGCAGATCCTCCTGGCCTTGCTTTCCCCAGCCTTGTTCAGAGTCCTGAAATTGTTTTTCTTTGCCCCTGAAGGCCCCAGGTTCTCACAGCTGTCAGATCTGAGATTGCCATATACTGAAGCAGAGAGGTTGGTGCACAGAGTTGCAGTGACTCTGCAGGGCTGTGCCAAGCTGCTGGCACAGAGATACAGGGCTGAGTCCCCCAGCTCCAAGGTGCTTATGTTCATCTCAGAGTGATAGTCAGAGAATTGGAACCCTGAGAATCGAGCAGGGAAGTTTCCTTCTGATCTCTTTAACTCATTAACATATTCAAAGATAAACTGAGGCCCCTGACCTGGGGCCTGTTGGTACCAGGACACACTGGTGTGCCCAGAGATAGGAGAGCATCTCAGAGTCACTTGCTGTCCTCTTGTTTTGATCAGGTGTGTGGGACTTTGGGTGACTTCAGCCTGCACTGGGACTGTGGGAAAAGCAGATGGAGGATGAGCACAGGAGACAGCCTGGTGGTACCTCCTCCCCAAGGTAAAGTAGAGGACACAGGGGTGGGGGCAAGCTCAGAATGGTGGTGCTGTCCTGTCTGCAAGGACTCACCTGCTCCCAGGAGACAAAGCAGTGTCCAGCATAGGAGCCCAGGGTTCATGGCACAGTGAGGCAGGTAGCACTGCACCTGATTCAGGACTTGGTCCTCTGGGGAAGAGCCAAGTGAGTTCTGGGCCTTGATTTTCCTGTTGGGAGGGGAATACTGTGACGTCACTGTCCTCTGTCCTCCCCCTACAGGCTTCTGGAGGCCCAGTGCTCCCCACAACCTGAACTTCCTCCCTGTCCTGCAGAGCAGAAGGGCTGGGTAAGGACAGAAGCATCTGTGATGAAACAGTTGCTCGTCTGTCTGCACTGCCCCAGCTCCCAGGCTGCCCCACCACACTCTCAGCCTCCTCCCACCTAGTGCTGCGGTGCTCCATGCTGGAGCTCACACACCTGCCCATCGGCAGAGGGTGAGGAGCCTGTGACTAAACCCTGTTCTAGCTCTTCCTGGCTGTCCTAAGGTCATCTCTCCGATGCTAGATTCAACCAAATTTTCTGGTTCTAATTTTTTCTTCTTTTTTTGTCCTCAGAAAACATTACCAACCCTGAGTGGTCAATTGTGCAGAGTCCCCAAGATTTAGTCCATCTAATCAGATCCAAAGTGCACCTGGGCTGCCTGTAAATTATTAAGAGCACAGTTTCCACAGAAATAATACTAGGGCTTTATCAGCTCACAGCACAGATCTAGCCAGCCAGTTTGGGATTCAGCACCCTCAAGGCCATCTTATGTGTAGTGCTCTGGATAATTTCTGTTAATGTCTCCAGATCTATCCTGCCTTCAGAGGCTGACCCCAGTGTTCTATGTTAACTGGCTCACTTCTTCTCTAACTCCAGAGTGAATTTGGCTAATGGGAGACAAGGGCAGGAGAGCAGAGGGAGGTAGGGTCACCACCTGTCCTGACTTGTCTATGCCCTGGCTCTTTTCTTACTGCAAGATTTTATATTGGTTACTTCCCCTACCAGAGGTCATAGCACCTTAGGCAGCCTTGGTCCAAAGCTACAGTACCAGATGCTTTGGGAGCCACAACCTCTCCTACTTATTTCAGGCCAGTGTGAATAGGAGCAACAGATTCTGCTACTCCTAGGCTACTTCAGCTTCTCTTATTGGGTTCCCTTAACCCTGCCACACCTTTGCAAATACTCCTTTTATCCCTCCTTGATATCTCCAGGACTACGACTAATAGACACAGCAATGGCAAAGTGAGTCTGGTACATTTTATTTCGCCTTAAGAGAACATTCTGTCATTAGAAGTAATAAAATTTCTAACAAATATTCTGCAATGAGCATTGCTAAAAGAGTCAGGAGAACCATGAGAAATACGTATATGAAAGTAAACCATGTGACAGGTGACACAGAATCCAAAGAGATTCCAGCAGAGAATCATGGTGCATGCTCACCTACTCTGACCTATCCCCATAAAAGATGGGAGTCATAGACAAATAGATGCTTGTATTCTGTACAGTCCAATTAAGAAATGCATCACATAAGAATAAGACAGGAACATACTCATGACCACATAAAATATGGAGAAGGTGAGACATGCTTTTTGCTGAGATATACAACAAATTTAGTAAGAAAATGAGCTGGACTGATAAGGGGCTAAGACATAACTGAGAATAGCTGGCTGAAAGAAAGCTATAGAGAAAGAAAAAAATTCTCACTTGCTGTTGAAGTCATACCAAGAACCATGAGCTGTTATAAATTTAATAATTTGAGAAATTGGGCATTCATCAATCTCAGCCATTAGCCTTCCATTTTGGTGTTCAGCATATTTGCCAATTGGTGAATTGATTTGTGTGTGTGTGTGTGTGTGTGTGTGTGTGTGTGTGTGTGTGTCAAGCAAGCAGCCTGCTCTGCCTTTTGTGAGTGGAGTTCTGGGTGACTCAGCACACCCCCTTGGCAGCTGCACAGGGAGACACTGGGCACAGAAGAGAAACATGGGGTTCTCTGCACATGGGGCTTGCAACTTCCTGTGGAGTCCAGCATGGACCTCCCAGTCCTTCAGTTAATGGATCCCAATGTAAGAAGTCTTGCACCAGGACATGGGCTTCTCCCTGTTGGCGCTAAAGAGGATGACAGGCTAAAGGAAAATAAAATGTGTGTTTTATATTATTTTATAGTATTTTACAAGAAAAACAAGTTAAGGAATTCATGGATTTTAATCCAAGCCACAGTGATGGTAAGAATTAAGTTTCTCCCTTGATCTACCCTCAGAGGAACTCAAACAGATATTTAGTAAGAGACTTATAATCTCTTTTGATAATTCTGATAGCCCATTATCTTCAGGTCTAATGGCAGAGTTTGTTGCATCTATTAACACTCTCCCTAAGTGGATTGTTCACTTGTGTGTTTTATAACTTTATAACAAAAAAAGTCAGATTTTCCTGTCCTCCAGAGAACATATGCTTGGTATCCCAAGGAACCAAAGCCAAAGTGATGTTATGTGTGCTAGTGAGAATCCCAGATCACTCAAGCAGGCGCAAGCATTTTTCTTCTCCCTTGATAAGAAAGTGAAATATGAATTTAATGTTGGAAGCTACCATTCCTTGGCACAATTACCAGAATATTTCAAATTGAGCAAAATACCATTATGTTGTTTGTATTTACACATCCACACTGCAGTGATAGACCTCAGCTCACTCTAGGTTTTATGCTGCAGGAGCCCACACAGAATGAGATCCCACTACTGGGGAGTCTGGGAAGAGCTTCCAAAAAGGCAACTTTTTCTTCTGGTTGAGACGGGGGCTTCCATAAGGACTGCCCACCTCCAGCCTGTGGCTGCCCTTTTTGTGCAGAGAGCAGCTGGCTGTGGAGGGCTGCGGATGGGCTGCCACAGTGGTACAGAGAGGTCTGGCTAGTGCTCCTGGGTGCCAGGGTTGGGGGAAATGCTCAAGCTTGTTTCAAGAGACACTGTACCCTTCGGCGACGTCAACTTTGGTCCTGCTGCCACCACTACCTGAATAATGGATCAGCTTCAGCCCCTGTCTCGGGTCTTGTCGATATCAGAACATTGAATAATGGTTCCTAACCTGAACACATTCCAGGATCATCTCTTTTCTTGTCTGCATAACGTGGTGTCTTGCTGTCTGGGTAATCCCACGAAGGCTGCTGGCGACAGAAATTTTGTTCCTCTTGTAAAATATTATAAAATAATATGGAACACACATTTTATTTTCCTTTAACCTGTCATCCACTTTAGCATCCACAGGGAGAAGCCCATGTCCTGGTGCAAGACTTCTTTCGTTGGAATCCATTAACTGAAGATTCTGGAAGAGCAGAGGAGTGATGTGAGATGAGGATGAGGATGCCCTGGTGCAAAATACTATCATAAGGAAGACAAGACTTGAGAAGTAGGGGACTCTGCAGAGGAAAGAGGACAAAAGGCTTGGACCCCAGATGTTGTAAACCCATGACAGGGTTTTGCAGCTGTTTTCAGAACTCATCTGCTCCCAGGAGACAAAGGGTCACACAGAAGAGTTTGGGATTCATGGCAGGGTCACAGTGAGGAGGGGTTCTCTAAGATAAGTGCTGTGATCGTCAGAACTGTTCACCTGGGGCTCAGAGGCTGCTCTCTAGGGAACAGTCTGGTGGGCCTGTGGTGTCACTCCCCCATCCACCTGGTCCAGGTCCTTCTGACTGGGCTCAGGCAGGATGGACCTCCTCTTGTTGCCTGGGGAGGACTGCAGGGAAGATGGGGTGCAGCAGACACTCACTGGGCTTAGGGCACAGCCTGCGCCTCACTTTCACATGTTCCTTCCAGGCAGTTGCTCCTCTGTCTGCACCTGCTCCTAACGCCAAGGCTGCCTGGTCAAACTTCTTCAACTGTGGATGTCATTAAAGATTAGAGGTATTTCCTGCATCCTGCATAGCTGTAGGTAGTCTAGCAATAACTGAAAACTGCTGCAACATCTGCATAATATTGGATCCAAGCCCTAATTTTTCTTAACCCTTTCCCTCCTAGGCTGCTCTCCCAGACCCTCTCCGGAGCCAACTTAGATCCCAGTGGACCACAGTGCCATCCTGTGGCCAATAAGTGAAGTTTCATCATTGCTTCTGCAATGGCCCAAGGGATGCTGGGAAATGTCTGCAGAGTGAGCTGGGAGACTATTCCAGAAGCGCCATCCTGCAGGTTTTAAACCCTTTTCCCAACACTAGTTCTAACCCTATTACTTTGAGTTATCCAGCCTAATATCCCACCCTCATTCTAAATAACTCTTATTACATAGCTGCAGTTAAAGTCTGATTGATATTTTCTTCCTTAAAACTATCGTATAAAGGGAGCAGATTAGAATGGGATGAATGGAAGAAAATTGGATTTATCCTGAAGTAGGAAGAACATACAGAAATTTAAGTTATTTAATTTCCATTACCAAAGATGCAATACATGTCCCCCCAAATAACAATTAATGTTACCATAAAAATAAAGATTAGCAAAAATTGGGGTGATAATGAGATTGCCTTCAAGACAGTGTCAAATACATATTAATGAAAAGTAAAATTTGAATGTAAACAGTAGGATCCCTTGTAGGCAGCAAGTAAACATGAAGGGAGCAGTATCCAATGTGGAAAATAAGGATGGATAATTAAGACCAGCAAAGGACCTTCCACAGAAAATGATTAACATGTACAATGCACATCTGCATCATGATCTGAGCAGCAGAAATGGAACCAATGATTCTGGAAGAGCAGAGGAGTGGTGTGAGATGATGATGAGGATACCCTGGTGCAAAATACTGTCATAAGGAAGCAAGGAGAGAGAGCCTCCTTCCTTTGTGAGCAGGAAGGAGGTGATTGTGTCACGCTGTGGCTAAGCTGCTGGCACAGAGATACACCGCTGAGTCTGCCTGCTCTGTGCGCTGGATCTGCAGAGTGGAGACGGATCCCCTAGACCTCTCTGCAGAGAACCGATCACTGGGCAGCCCTGAATCGTCTGCTATATCCTTGCCTTGGAAGTAAATTAGAAACTCTGGGCCCTGCCCGGGGTTCTGTCGGTACCAATAAAGGACCGTATGACCTGAAATTGGATCACACCTGAGAGCTACATCCTTTCCCTTCTCTGTGACCTTGTTACTGGGGGACTGGGAGACTCCAGCACCTGTGTGATCTGTGGAGACAGAAGTTGAGAACAGAATGAAGCAAACAATTGTAGTCAACACACACACACACACACACACACACACACACACACAGAAACTGCTTGTTGTTCTGAGGACTCACCTGTCTGCAGGAGACACAGGGCTGCCCAGCAGAGGAGCCTGGTGCCCATGGCAGAGTCAGAGGGTCAGAGCAGGGTGGGAACGTTACCCGATCAGGGTCACAAGCAGAAGCAGAGGAGGAGGGATGTCCTCGGTCCTTGTCCCAACACAGAACAGTTCCCACAGTGACATCACTTCCTGTCTCAATCCCTACAATGTCAGGAACACAGGATTTATATTAGAACACATTTGAATGACTGCTTTAGATATTTATTAGCTCCTTTTAAATAACATCAATGCATCTTTTGTGTCTTCACTTTGTGCTCCAGAGCTGTCTGGACCCGGAGGCCTCACTCCGCATCTCAGAGTTGATCTTCTCATCCCACAGCTGCTCCTCTGTCTGCTGGGCGTCTTCTCTAGGATGTGCGAACAGCGCCCCCAACACAAGGCACCAAGAGGTGAGCTCATTGTCTTTCCTGCAAGACAGGGTCCCCAGTGCCATCCCCATTCATTCCCCAGCCTCCCCCATTCTCCCAGTCACAGGTGCCCGACAGGATTGTCCCATCACATGGGTCCCCTCACAATCTGTATTTAATTCCTCTCCTCTAGGACCACTCCCACCTTTGTTGGCTATAATTCAGAAAAGATACCTTGTTGGCAAACTCATAGTTTTTTTTTTTTTTTTTCTTTTTCCACCAGTAAATATATTTCCCTCCATCTCAGTATTTAATGAATGGGGATTATAATTCTGACTAAATGGTTATTTTTGATCCTCTTTCTTGACTTCCCTTGTTTCTTTCAGCCTATTCCACAAGGAGAGGTTTATCTTTCCTCTTGACTGCTTTTAGAATCATCTCTTTGTTACTTATGTTTCCGAATCTCATTATAATAAAAACATTCATCTTATCTCATATTCATTTGAATTCTAATGTCTCATCACAATCACTTATTCTCTATACTTTCTCTTTTTGAAACTTCAATTATTATATGTAAGAAAAACGGGAAATTCCAATTAAAAAGTATATATTCTACTATGCTGGAAACCACAGGTTTTTGACTCCTCATCCCTTCAGCTCTCCCTAAGTTTGCATATTTAATTTTCAATGCTGGAGTCTCTGTAACTTCTTCAGCTCTGTCCTTGACTTCACTAATAATCCCTTAGAAGCATTTCATCTTTTCTTCATTTCCATTTTGTGTACAGTGATAATCTTAATCATTTCTGTATTTAATCTTATTATTTTTTAATGTTACCTTGATGGTTTCTGACAGTCTCTTTTTTCTTCTTCATATTTCAATTCCCTTTAAATATAGTTCTACAAACTTTCCTATCTTTGAGTGGTTAAAAATTTATTGTCTCCATACACTTCTATTGCTTATTGTTTCTGCTTACTTCTCTTCATTGGTTTGTATTTTAATAGTCTTAGTAGTAGAAACATATTTATCCGACGTTAATCTGTGGAGTTCAAGAGAGGCCTGCACTGAGAGTAAAAAGAACTTCAACACTCCATAGCTTTTCCACTGTCTCCAGTCTTGTGGCCAAATTCATGGGGCCAAGAACTGTCTGTTGCACTCTGGGTTGCTAAACGCTCTCACGGTTTAGGTTCCTGGGGAACATGCTCTCAGGACAGCCACAATGGACCTTCTAGAACACAATTCTGATTTTCTGTTACTTTTCCATGATACCTTCTCCTTAAATTAGCAACTATAAGGCTGTTCCCATCCTGTTCATTCAAGGGAAAATAATATAAAAGGAACATTTTTTAAAAAAATTCTAAATCTACAAATGTGCCCTCTTGGTTTTTTTTTTTCTTTTTTATGTTGTTGTTCCTAACCTAAAACTTAAAAAAAATTGCTTAGATATTAGAATTATATAGAGAGAGTTTACCCTCATTCAGCTTGAAGAACACATCATATTTTAAATTGGATATTCCCAGACTGACAAACTGGCTCATAACGGTGCATTGTCCTTTGCTTGTTCAACAAGTAAGTGATCTTTGATGAGCAAGTAGCAGAACATCTCAGACACAGTTAATTCTAGATCTCTGCCAGGGTACAATGAATCTAGGGTGTTTCTGTTATTGGTTCATCCACCCACTCATCACTCACTCACCTGTCACACACTCATCCATTCTCTGTGAAATGAATGAGGACTCCCTACCTGGCAGGAACTGCTGGTGGTGAATGTAACAAGCTCAGCCTTTACCTTCAGGAGTTTAAAATTGAGTGGAGCACAAAAGGAATAAGACAAGTGTCAGAAAAATTGCAAGTGTGCTAAACTTTACTAATGGCATGTGATTCTATGAGAGCTTATGAGAAGGAAATTGAAATTTGACCTCAGCTGAGAGGTGAGGGAATGCTTCCAGCAGGAGGGGCTGATCATGCTGAGATCAGAAGCACAGGCAGGAGTTGGCCACTGCAGAAAGAAAGGCACCATCCCAGGGCAGAGAAAATGACCTTTGAGGTCTCTGTGATGGAAAGAAAGGAGGCACAGAAGAGGCAGCCTCAGGGCTGCAATAGAGAGGGTGGGGAGGTAGAGCGGAGAGGACCAGCAAGGCCTTTGGGGGTGACTGCCCAGATGGGAAAGGTGGGCCACAGGTAAGACCATGTGAAAATGGGGACTGGGGGAAACCCTGGAGAGAGGAAGCAATGTGGTCCCCAGAGAGAGATAGGATTCTAGATGGATCTGAAATACCAATCTTATTCCATCTTGCGGGCCTCAGACTCAGGATGATGAGTAGAAAAGTAAGAGCCTGGGAAGCCCTGGCCCCAACCCAAAAAGATAGCCTGGAGGAAAGACCAGAGAGTAAAAAAGAGACATCTGAGGCCCTGTGACCAGTCCAGGTCTAGCTAGAACTGCCTGCGGAGGCACCTGGCACAGACTGAAGCTCACACTGCCAGGACCCATTGGGCTTCCAAGATTCTCAGTGCTGAGAACCCTGCCAAGGACGCAGCTGAGTCTGGGATTGGGGAGGAGGGCAGAGCCTCCCCTGCCTTTATACTCAGAGAGGAGATGGCTGTGCAGTACTGTGGGGTCACTGCTGGCACAGAAGTACACAGATGTCTGAGAGGGTTCACCTGACTCCAGCATGAGGGAGAAATCATCAGTGTTTGATCTGGAGATGCTGTAACCATCAGGGACTTCTCCTTTGCCAGTGCTACCCGCTGTATTTAGATGATCCTTAGCCCCAATCCTAGATCTTGTCTATACCAGTACATGGCATTATGTCTCATATCCTGGGTACATCTCAGTGTCACTCTCCATCCTGCTGTCAGGATCTGAGATTTTGGAACCTGGGTGATGCCAGCAATCACTGGACCTGCAGAGAAGGAGAACAAAGCCCATGCTGCAGCCCCAATGGGAAGGCCCTGGGCCTTGAAATCCATGCAGGAGCCCTGCCCAGGACCCATCTCCCCACAGGAGACAAAAGGCCGCACAGCACAGGAGGCTGATGCTCATGGCAGGTGCTGCAGGAGGGAGGAGTCTTCTGGGTCTGTGTGTTGGTGAAACGGGAACAGGGCTCTCAAGGGAGTCATTCTGAGACCTCATTCTCCCTGCCTGCGCCCCAGAGCCTTCTGGTCGACAGAGGCCATGCCCCTTCCCCAGAGGGTCAAATCCAAAATAAATGTACCAGTGAAATTTTGATGGGAAGAATGCTTCTTTTTTTTGTTTTGTTTTGCTTTGTTTCTTGCTCGCTGTTTTTGAGTTATAACCCTTCCATGCAGCTCATATTTTTCCTTCTTTTTTTATTGCATTTTAGGTTTTGGGGTACATGTGAAGAACATGCAAGATTGTTGCATAGCCTTCCTCCCCTTCACTTATACCTGGCATTTCTCCCCATGCTATCTCTCCCCAACTCCCCACCCCCCACAGCCCCCTCCCCATTTTCCCCCAACAGACCCCAGTGTGTGATGCTCCCCTCCCTGTGTCCATGTGTTCTCACTGTTCAACACCCTCCTGTGAGTGGGAACATGCAGTGTTTGATTTTCTGTTCTTGTGTCGGTTTGCTGAGAATGATGGTTTCCAGGTTCATCCATGTTCCTACAAAGGACACGAACTCATCGTTTTTGATGGCTGCATAATATTCCATGGTATATATGTGCCACATTTTCCCTGTCCAGTCTATCATCGATGGGCATTTGGGTTGGTTCCAGGTCTTTGCTATTGTAAACAGTGCTGCAATGAACATTCGTGTGCATGTCAAGAAGAATGCTTCTTGACACACGCCTTACAAATTTTTGCTTGACCTTTATGCAAACAGTTTGTAATTCAATGTAAATTTTATTCCTGTAATAATATAATTCCTCATTAATACACTGGTGTTAGTTATCTATGTATTGCTGTAGTCTAGAATCTTAGAGAAAATCCTCATGTCTTCCTGGTGTTTTTGACTCCTGTGTCCCACATACTCCTTCAAGTATCCTTCCCTAATTTGCTTAATTGACCATAATCCTGTTGAAGTCCTGTGCCAATCTTGGTTTTCTGTCATCAGGTCTCCAAATCCCAGGGGCAGGCTCATCAACATTGGAGGAGTCATTTTGCTCTGTTTCTTGTCAATTCACTGACAGATGGGACTCCCAACAAGCTCAGTTGAGCACCTTCAGCTTCACCCAGGGCTCTTGCTTTCTGTCTCCAGGGTGAGACCGCAGCAGGCAGAACCACCTCACACTGGTGAATGCCCTCTCTGCGTGGACGATGGTGGCCACCCAGAGTTGCTGAAGACCCTGTGGGCACAAAGGAATCCTGATGAGTGAGGAACTTGGGGAGAGGGAGAAGACTTCAGGGTAAGAAAGAATCTCTGGTTTTATTTGCAGTGTCATGTTTCTTAGGGAATGTATACCTTCGTGCAGGATTCCTGCCATTAATTTAGCAATAAATGAAAAGGAACTCAAAAACTGTATCTTCGATGCATAGAGCCACGTGTTTGGAAGGACCCCACGGTTTATCACTCTGCTGTCATGATTTTTAAGTTCTTAACAGTGTTTGTGCAAAAGGACCTGCCAGTAAGTCATGTCCCTTGTTGGAAATATACCATTTTGTGTCATATTCTGCTCACCTCCCCCTGTGCTGTTTCCTTTCAGCACATCATATGACCAGGGTCTGTCTGGTCATTCAGGATCTTTGGGGCTTAGTAGTGAAGGACACAGAAATTAAAGTCACAGCTAAGAGCTACCTGGTGCAGAAAGTCACAGCTGAGATCCAACAAGCCCATGAATGGGTTTCATGTCTATGCCCAGGACTCCTGTGGTTCAAGAGACAGAAACACACAACTCAGCATTCTGGGATCCTGGTGCCCAGGACAGGGCCAGAACAGGAAGATGAATTCTAGATGAAGGCTCAGGATTTATGGGTTAAACACTTGGGGTTAAGGCA